TCCAAAATGTTTTCTTATTATTATAAATTATATAAAAAGAGTAAAAACAATGGAACTTAAGTGCACAATACCCTGTCTATGTCTCTCAGCCCTAATGAAGACGTAAATAATTAAAAATGCCTAACAACTGTACTTAAAATTGCCAAAAAAAAATTCTATTTAGCTGGACAATAGTTTTTAGCAAACATTACTCAAACAACAGAAAATATTTTAATGCTGGGGACTATTTTGCAGCTAAGGACTTGGTGATCTAATGATTATTTACAGCAGCAGGATGGTGTATGTGGGATGAACTACAGCACCCACGATTATTGTAATGAAGAAACATTAACGTAGCACAACAATGTGGCTCATTGGTGTTTTAATAGTTTTTAAGACAATAATGGAGCTCTATGGTGAGAGATAGCTAATAAGGGTTTAGCTACACAGCTAGTACTTAATAGTAGGATCATTGTGATTTTTTCTTTAACAATAAGAAAAATACAAAATATCACCAGACCTATTTTAAATATACTTAAATTCATACTTCTTCTCTTCACTTGGTGCACAATGAATTCCTTCATTTGATTTCATGCAAAAAAATATTTTTAAAAGTTATTTTTCTCGTATTTCTATACTTGACTCTGAAACAACCTTGGTTGGTAGGTGACTAAAACATCCCATGGAAAACTACCGATGGCAATTTTTAGATAACTGAAAAAAAAAGCGACAGTAGCAACTAATGATTTACACTAATGCAGATGCGTCTGGTTCAAAAAGATAAAAACAGTGAGGCTTTGGCAGCAGTTGGATTGGACAAATGATGTGAATTTCAAGCAGGTAAAGAAGCCTCTCCACACCACTACACATATGGGCCAGTACTGCCTTCAAGTGAAAATATGAAGGAAGCTGCCCCAGGTGGAAATATTGTAATTACGAATTCATTGCACATGAACGAACCATGAACTATGATAGCTGAGTTGCAGAAATGTTGGGTGGCTGGACAGCACTGAAGCGGTGCCAACGACTGCAGTGAAACTAATGATACTGCTCGTATTTATTATGTTGGTATGTGTGTTTGGGCAAAGCACTTGAATTCTTGACAGGTTGTAATTATATCGTTCGAAGACAGATGCAGGTTTTCAGAATGAGAGCACTTGTGGGCTAAGAGTGAAGAAAGAGTCTGAAACTTCCTGTCCGTCACACATATTCACAGCTGGCCGCTCTCTCTAGGTGGTGCAGTAATAACGAGGTGAGAGTGTCAACAGTTCTCTCACATACTGCAGGGTAACAAGAACTGGTAATTACGGATATTCAAATTATCATAGAAACAGTATTGGATCCTATGCAAACAGACAGGGACGCACACAGTGCAATGGCCTGTGCTGCAGCAGGATGGGTGGCGGGAGCTAAACGTGGACAGATTAATGTGCATCACAGCAGGGGTCTGTCTGCTGTAGTGTGATTGTTGAATTTGGAGTAGCGGCGTGATTGGATCAGAGGTGGCCAGAGGACTGGACTGAAAGATGGAGAATTCATCAGGCAAAGGTTAATTTAATACCACGGGGCATGATTAGTTTCAAGTTTGAACACTCACACTCATGCACATTTCTGCTCTCTTTATCTACAACATTATTTTCCCGGGAGTGAACATTTCCAGGCCACTGAGTGGCTTAGCGGTTACAGAGAAAATTCTTCAAACAGAGAACCTGGGTTCAAGCCCCAGCAGGTCAGCAAGCAGCCCTCCTGCTGAAGTGTCCTAGAGCAAGACACTGCAGCCCTCTAAGCTCCAGAACTGCTGTTCTGTAGCTCACCCTGACCTCTGTAGAAGGAGAGGGTGTTTAGATAATTTTGCTTAAGGGAGGAAGAAATATTCACATTATGATTGGTGGGCTGGGTTGATGACATAAAACACGACGGCTTTTGGGTAGAAGAGAACATTTTGTTTCGATTTCACTTTAAAAATGTTTTCTACTTATAAGGGCTTTTACTATTTCCAGGTCCGGGTGAAGGAGTCAGTGCTGATGGTTAAAGTAAACACAATTGCAATTGTGCCTTTTCCATGTTATAAAGATATTTCTTTTATAGGATGCTGTTTCAGAAGTGAGTTGTATTACCTCAAAAGTGGGCAGGTTGCACAATAACACGGAAAGCGAAAAAGCAGTGAATTCACAGTGTAGCTATTGTAGATGGTGCATTAATCCATGCCAGACTTCTGGTAAGGTGCAGCAAGCGCATTTAGAGAAAAACAAACAGGCTTTTCTCTGCCATAACATGCTGTCGTTGTGTCCCTTTAAAAGTAAAAAAAGCTACAAGTTGTGCTTGACAGGAGGTGAGGCGCTGAAGAGGCTGTTTATGATCATTTATGGTGATAACGATAATTTAATCTTTGTTTAAACATTTTATTTACTGGTACGCTGTGATTTAATCTTAAAACATGTTAATTTACAGAGCCCAGGATGTAACTCATAACCTATAATTATGCATTTCCTCAAATTACCAACTCATGCACTCAAATCAAAATTGCTAAAAAAGGTGTAGTACTACAGTTAAACTTTCAAACACTGGAAACATTTTGAGGGGTTGGCTGTCATTGCTTCATCAATGGTAAACTTTATTGCCTCCTGATTGAATTTTGATCTACTGTACTTGCCATAGTGGCTTAGTCGGTGCATAAATTACATATTTAATTCAGTTATTCTGCAGCACTGCAGCACACAGGTGGAGTTTTAAAGTCAGCCTAGATTCGTGTGCTCCAATCCTACATACCTCATCTCATCTCTATCTCCATTCACAGAGCACTCAAAAAGCCCCACGGTGGCAAAGTCATTACAGCAACGACTACAAACAAACACTGTGTCCTGGATGTTTGTTTAAGGTTGTTGTCACACTAAATCCTTAACTGTCCATGTGCCAGGAAAGCATGCCTCTGCTTCCTGTGATGTATTAGTTGATGTCCTGGGATCTCCACTAAGATTTTCATCAAGAAACCCCAAACTATTCTCCATTGCATTTGTCTACTGAAGAAATAAACTCCAAAAGCATTATTATTCCCTACCTCCAAACTGAATAAGCTGTTTCCCTACACTGACAATGTCATTTATGATAGACAAAATATATTGTAATTGCAGATGAATTGTTCCTTTAATGTACTATTTTACAAATCCTGAGGGTAAATTGGTGAATAACACTTTGAAGCAGGTGACATTTATCTGTTATTGACCATTTTAAAAGTGATATCCCTAGCACACTCTGCACGTGTGTGTATGGAGTGTGAAAGTGTGCATATTCTGATGGTTTCCATGGTGATCTGGCAGGTTGTTATAATGATATTTGATGCCCCGCAGACAATCAGGCTTTTCCCAATAGAGCGCGATGTAATTGGTCCCAATAGGGGAGAAAATGAATTCAATTTAACTTTATTATTAGTATTCATAATTCTTTAGGAAAGTTGAGAAGAAATCTGTCAGAGAACCCTCAATGAGTCATAAATCATAAGAGAGCAAATTAGATACTGACAGTGTGAGGGGTGCAGCTGGAGTCGAGCCTTTTCAGAAATTAATTAACAATAGAAACCTGTAAACTTGACAGGCTATAATTGATACTGTCGCAGTGTCTTGCAGGAGTGGTGAAAAAGCAACTCAACAAAAACAATATTATGTACTTACTTATGTTATTATATGTGTTTAACATTTACTCAACTCAAATGTATAACTACTGTAGTTTTTTTCTTTTTTTTCCCCCTCTCCTCCAGAAAATGCTTAGTGGCACATGTCTAGAAGTGAGTATTTAGTGTGTATTTGTGGTGTATTTACCTGACTTCACTTTCTTTAATGTGTCCTGCTAGTTCTTCGACAAACTTTTCTCCTTTCATCCAGTAGATAATGGGCCTTCTGTTTTCTCCACTGTAGCCAAAAAACGCCTTGCAGTCCAGACTGAGAGGCATACCTGCAACACAAAAACACTATTACAATACAGACAACAGCATACTAAGGGACAGCTTAGTGTGAAATTATTCACACTTAACTGTAGCTGAAACAGGTACTGTAGTCCAGTTTAAGGAGAATACAAGCAATGAAAATTGCCACACACACTGAAATATTCTGTGCAAAGAAGGAAAGGTTGATGAGTATTATGGTAAAACTGAGTTCTAGTTGCTGCTCAGGGGCTGGCAGGTGATAGTGGGAAGCCTGCTGCTCTCTCAGGAACCGGTACAAAGAGCTAGTAGGTGTGCAGCAGGGTGCCTACTTGAAGCCCCTTGAATTAGGGAACTAAAATTTAAAATTTAAGGCTCAACAGACAATAGGCAGCTTAGAAAGAGGTGTTACTAAAAGCCCTCTGTGTCCAATCCTGCTGCTTATCATGTAAGAGTCGTCTGATTTGAAAGTCCAGTGTGTGCAACATGCTACACAATTTTGTATTACAGAGACTGTAGAAATGCAGTAACAGTGTGAGTCTGTGTGAGTTTAAAGGGTTGCCACTAAATCCTACACACTGCTCCTTCAAAAGTGTAGCAGAGGATCAAAAGGAAATGGTGTAATGACTTAACCTTCCATTACCAGACAAGATATTGGACCATCAATATCTGCAAATAGCAACTATGGCATGGCTAAGATTGGGAGATATCACTGCTAATAAAAAGGCGCACGGTAATTGGACACAAGTCGAGGCTTATTCGATGCAACTCAATTAAATTTTATTTGCATGAAAGTCAGATGGACTCCACCACCACGGCCTCCACACCCTTCTGTCTGGCGTGCTTCAGCAAGGGCACGCTGTTGGTGCTAAACGTAAGAGGTAAGGTGTGGAATCATTTAACAGGGCTGTAATGTCTAGGGAAGCCCAGGTATAAGAACTATATACAGTAAAAATTGGTTATTTTGTAGGGCATTTTTTGTAGGACTGTGCTGGAGAAAATAAGCGACAATATTTGCAGCACACACACACACAGACGCACTTAAGCACACATATGTGTACAGACAGTATCCACACTAGCTCTCACGCACCCTCCTGTAAGACCTTGAAAGTAGCACTCTGTGATTACAGCTATCAATGGTGATGATGGAGTATTAATGAGCATTATAATGAGCACTACCTCGTTAGGCAGTCAATTAGCAGATAATTATGATAGACCTCTGTATTATCATAATGATAGCTCTATCAGCACAGAACCAACACTGAATGCTAACAATGTGTGTATATCTGTGGGTTTTGTTGTCAGACAAGCACTTGAACTGAATGTTAACACTAATATTTACATTTTAGACGGATGCTTTTATGCAGAGTGAGTGAAATGCACGTGGCTCTGTGCAAGCTTTGCCCTTGTGCAAGTTAATCCCTGAAATTACTATTTTCAAAAGAAAGAACCTCCAAATGTTTAGAACAGCAAAGGTAAAAACTTAAAAAAAGTGGTTATATAGTAGGTTGAATAAACATAAGGTTTTATCAATTGGACATGGCAAAATGCAACTGTTTTCATATGGAAATGTCAGATGATTGCTTTGTGTTTGATTTCATTGCATCACTTATTCTGATTGACGAGAGAAAACGAGAGAACACAGAAGGCTTTGACGTTTGACTGTCTCTCAAAATGATAATTTTTAACAAGCCAAGAGATGAAGTGGTCTGCAAAGCTTTATACATCCTGTATGTATGAGTGTGTGTGTGTGTGTGTGTGTGTGTGTGTGTTGGGGGGGGCTCTCATGGTGTGTTAGCTTGCCTCTGTGCTGAGACAGGCAGCACACACACACACGCAAACACAAACAAACACAGACACACACACTGCAGAACTTGATGAAAAAAGAATCTGGATTAGAGTGAAATTAGTTTAGCTTGATTGTGTGTGTGTGTGTCCCTGTGTGTGTATGTAGGTGTGTGTATGCTGTAATTGATTAGCACCCTGAGGGTGTGTTTGTGTTCTCAGCATGTTATGGTGATTAAAATCATCAACTTTGTTTGCAGTTGTGTGGCACAAGGGTGTGTTTAGGTTGTGCTTGGTGCGAGTGACTGTGTGAGTGTGAGTGTGTGTGTGTGTGTGTGTGTCAATCTCCCTCAATCAGAACTACCAGCCTTGAAATCCAGCCTCATACAGCCGAGTTGAGTCATCATTTCTGTTTGTGGCTAAAGCAGCAGGGTGTTTAAAAGAACTAAAAAAGGTCGTCATTAGTATCAAAGACTTTGTACAAACGATTGATGGGAGCTTTTTCAAGTTAATGCATCATCATTTCACACTGCTGCTGAGTGCGATCACACCTAGATGTTGTTTCCTTTGGTGTGAAGCATACTGGAAGAGCTCACTCTGCCCAGTCACAAGTGAGTTTGTAAACAGAAGACACATGACTCATGAGTCAAAGCCCATCTGATTCCAGTCTTTGTCACTTTAGTTCAGCCTGACAGACTTGTCTGTGCTCTGTAATGTAGCTTCTCTGACATTCATAACACGTAGGTGCACATAAAGAAGCAGCTGAATGTGAGCATCCGTCCAGACTGTGGTTTGCCCTTGGTTCATTTTTTAATGCTGCAATCCAAGCAAGAGGAACTGCTGGTTATCAAACACTAACATCTGTTTCCTTCTGTCTGTAAAGCCTTGTGTTTTGAGGTTGTTTCCTGTCGTTGGTTCCACATTCTTGCTGTAAAAATATCCCTGAATTTCTCTATATTTCATTTGTTCCCACCAGCCAAAGGAAACACTCCTCCACAGTTTAAATAAAACACTAAACATGATTAGTGTTAATGTGCTTCTATTTAAAGAAGTTCCTCTATTGTGATGTGATTTTTTTGTGTTTAACTTCAATTCAGCATTGATTTAGATCATTTTCCTCACCACTGGATGAAGAGAGGAGGGTTACAAGAAACATAAAAACTGGTCTCTAAAACATTAATGGCTGTTTAAGCTGCACTAAAATCCTCGTTATAACAATTATAATGCAGTAATGTAAAAGGTACATAGAATCATCACCTGACTCTGCAGGTCGCCTCAGCTCTACAAAGCATTTTAGTGTCTTTCCGCTCTTTGTTATGCTTTTACAGTCTAAAACTACAATGTTCAGTCTCACAGCTCTGCTGTTTTAAGCAAGAACACTTAAATAAATAAGCATTTAGCAGCTAAAGGTCAAAGTATTTCCCTCAGGAGTTAGTGGAGACCAAAACAGAGCTCAAAGGAGAGTGAATACTGGTCTGTTTCTGGTTTCCTTCTCCTAATGAATGGTAATGTTGCCCTGTGTTTCCTGGATATGTAAAGAAGCCACTGTTTGCTACACAGTGCAGTTTTTTATATTGTCATATATTTGTTTGGCTGACCTAACACTGTTTTTTCACTGATGTATGGAGCAATCATCAGTTAAATAAATGATTGTTGGCTCACTGGGAAAGCTCTGCTCCACCTAATGTAGCAGAAACTTAATTAGTATATTTGGTAAAACTTGTGTTTCCCCTACTATTTCATTTCAAAATGGCTGCTGTGAAAAAGGTGTATTCTTGCGATGGCAAAATCCCTGGAGAAAGTGATCTGTAATGGCAGTGATGTTAGAAGGGTATAAAGGGGTACAGAAGAAATTCATAAAAGCTCAGAGTCTGTCATCTTTGCTTCTTCCTCTGTAACTATTGTAGCTACTTTTCACATCATTAGTCCATTTCACTTGTCACTCTTTGAGTTTCCCTGTTCTCTCCTTGCTTTTCACTTTTTATCATCACTGAAAGAGATTCTCTGTCATCTGCCTGTCTCCTTTCCTCTTTTTCCCTCCGTGTCAGGATT